ATTGATTTCATTTACGTAACTCGAGAATAAAAAAAACAAAAATGTTGTGTATTGTGAACAAAAACTAATTATCATTATTTCACAGAATTCTTCTTGTGTGCAAGTCTGTGACGACATTTGTTATTGTAAATTGCAAATGCATTTATTAGAACAAATGAAAAAATGAAACAATAGTACTAATATCAAGAATAATTTACAAATCACAATCAATTACAAGCCTGAAAAAAATATGCGCTCGGGTCTATTCGGCGAAATTGGAAATCTGGGTTTTTGTATTTACATTGATTTAATTAATTATCTCACTTGTCAAATTTTTATTTCTAGTTTTATATTCTTTCCATTTTAAATTGCAGTCTGTATATATTTGTAAGTACCTATTCAGTTTGTTACTGTTACCATTGCAAACAGCCTACCCCTAAAGATTTTAAATAATCTGATTCAGAAGATTAACCTTCTAAAACACTCAGTAGTGCTGCCGTATATAATAAAATTGATTCTCGATACATTTATAGTTTGAGTTTTTAGCAAGTCACTTCTAAAACTAGATATTTAGATTCAGCTTTTTTCAGAACACGCTTTCAGTTGTCTCCTTTTACTATGATAGTGATGTCATCGGCAAAAGAGCTATTTCATCATTACATATTGAATTGAAAATATTAATTATATATAAAAGAAATGGAACAGATCCAAGAATGGTTCCCTGGGAGACTCTACATTTTACAATTAACTCTTTGCTGTAGACATTTTTGTTAACAGTTTCGGTTTTATGGTTAGATACTTTTCAATAAATCATGGACAGTACCACTAAATCGTAATCTATGGAGTTGATATTGTAAAATTTACAGTATCAAATGCCTTAGCTAGATCAAGAAAAATGTGATGCAAGGCATTTATTGTCTTAGTGAATTAATTATGTTATTTGTGATGGATTTTGGTGCACCTTGTGAGCTTTTACCTTTCTGAAAGTCAGATCTCACTAAATGCATTGTTTATTATAAAATTTAGTCTAACCTTAAATAACTTCTAAATTATTGACAAAATTCAAATTTAATGACATTGGCCTATTATTTGTAGAAAGCTCAAGTTTTACAGATTTGTAAAGTGTACAAGTGTACAATTACTTCTGTAGAGGTAGAGCTGTCTTTCAGCCATTCCAAATCCATGCAAAGATCTGTTCAGAGATGTTCTATGTTCGGAAAGTGCTTGTATAGAGTAATTTTAATCACTTCAATGAATTTTACATATTTCGGAAAAAATAAATACATATATGTATTTACATATAAGACTTGATCAAATCTCTTTGTATCTTTGTGTGACTTACTACAATCTTTGTCTAAAAAAATACACTGTCATTACAGGCTAGTGACTTGTGTCTATCCTGCGGGCAACGAAGATGTAATTACAGCACCTTACAATGTTGCTTTGGCCACTAATGAACTGATTCGAAATGCTTCATGTGTATTTCCTGTGAATAATCAGGTTTGTAATCCTCAACAAGATAATCATATTGTCAGTTCTCATTATATGTTTTAAAATTTTAAGGCTCTTACAGAGATCTGTGGTCGTGCAAAATTAGGTGAGGCAAAAGATAAAACAAGCAGATATTTTCGAGATGTGAACAATATTATTGTTAATATGCTTCTTCATCTGACAAGGTACTTTTTCTTTGAAGTTTTGCCGATATTTTCTGTTAAGAAACTAGGTTAGTTTCTAATATATTTTACTTTACAGTGGTGCTCGCTTTCCGGGTTCATTAAATGTTGACATGAATGAAATAGCTACTAATTTGGTACCATTTCCTGGTATGCATTTTCTAACTAGCAGTGTCAGTCCTTTGAGTAGTATTACCATGAAGCCTCCACTACCAGGATGCACTACAAGGTAATTTAAGTGACTCTTCCATTTATGAAATTAACACCAATAGTATTTTACAATA